TAATCAAGTTTCAAGAGCTGGTTTACTCAGAATCGATTGATGTAATGTTCGTAACTGAAACTTGGCTCAACAGCGATATATCTGATAGAGAAATCTTACCAATTGGGTATGACATTTACAGAACTGACAGATCACTGGGGCGATCTGGGGGAGGCGTACTTATTGCAATTAAACAAGATACTTTCATAAATTGTAATCAAATTTCGTCTGTTTCTATGAAAAACTTAGAGGCTGTTGCTATCGAGTGTACATTACCTAACCTCACGAAATGGCTTGTTGTATGTTGTTACAGACCTCCCGATAGTAATGATATGTCCGATTTCCGTTCCTTTGCTGATAAGTTATTCCCTGTCTACGACAAGATCCTTATCGCCGGTGACTTTAACCTCCCGAATATTTCCTGGACAGATTCTAACTATACCGCAACAGGATCATTGAATCAGAACTTCTGTGATGTATTAGACGACTACTTCATGTCCCAACTTTGTTTGGTTCCCACTAGAGAGTCGAACATTCTGGATTTACTAATTACCAACCAACCAGAACACATAACATTAACGGCCGTCCACCCTCCAGCTGAGTTAGGAATGAATTCTGATCATAATATCATACACTTCCAAATCTCCACCTCATCAAGTATTGTCCCCCCAAACAAACGTTTGATTTACGATTACCGACGAGCAAACTTTGACGGTTTACGAAAAAAACTAATCGATATGGACCTTTGCACTCTGTTAACAAACAATGGGACGGAATGTAGTATTGATGACGACTGGTTCACCTGGAAGAAAGCTATCTTGTCAGCTATGAATGAATTTATCCCTACCAAACACGTAGACCCCCATCGCACACCTCCTTGGATAACATCAACCATACTACATCAAATTCGTAAAAAGGTAACAGCCCGAAAGAGATTTCTAAGCCGAGGGACTGAATATCTCAAGGCGAAATTCAACCAGCTAAGAACTGACGTTAAAAAATTAATTAAAGAAAGCAGAAAGTTGTTTTTCTCATCCTTAGGAAACACCCTACGAATCAATCCAAAACGTTTCTGGTCTGTCTTTAAAATCAACTCGAACACCGGAACTATCCCTAAGTCAGTCTCAAGGACAAATTCCAACATTCCGGAGACTAGATTACATGCAAACACGCCTCGCGATATTGCAACAATGTTCAATGAATATTTCCATTCTATCTACACCAACTTCCCGGGGCAATCTTCATCACCCCGGCCTGATTTCTCACCTCCTCTATCCAGTATATCATCCATTGACCTCTCTATAGAAGAAGTATACCTAGCCTTACAGAACTTAGATCCCTTCAAGGCTCATGGTCCTGATGGTTTTCCTTCTCGTGTTTTAAAGGAATGTGCATTTCAACTTGCTCCTTCTCTACACTACCTGTTCACAAAGTCCCTCCGCTTATCACAGATTCCCACCGAATGGAAGCTAGCCAACATCATCCCTCTACACAAGAAAGGTGTAAAAGAACACGTGGAAAATTACCGACCCATTTCTTTGTTAAGCATTGTCAGCAAGACTCTTGAACGCTGTGTCCTAAACCACCTATATCTACGCATACAGGAAAGCGTTCACTCAGCACAATATGGATTCATTAGTGGAAGGTCTACCACATCTCAATTACTATCGACACTACACAAAATAGGGAAGGACTTAGATAAAGGACTACAAACAGACGTTGTCTTCATGGACATTTCCAAGGCTTTCGATACCGTTGACCACTCCAAACTGTTACAAAAACTTCGCGATTTCGGTCTATCTGGCTCTCTTTTGTTGTGGTTTGAAAACTATCTATCAGGTCGCTGTCAACGAGTAACTGTTCACGGTGCGACATCTACTTCCTTACCAATAACATGCGGAGTCCCACAAGGTTCATTGCTGGCTCCCTTCCTCTTCTCGGTGTACATTAACGATTTGCCCGATAACATATCCATTTCTACTGGGGTCGGTTTGTATGCTGATGATACCAAACTGCACAGATGTGTGCAAAATCGTAACGATGCACTGGCATTGCAATCGGATATTCAAAGCCTCCATTGTTGGTCAAATGAGAACATGTTGAGCTTTAACAAATCGAAGTGTAAAGTGTTGTCTATCACAAGAAGGAAGTCTCCCTTAATTTACCCATATGCACTTGGCGATCACCAATTATTGTCTTCTGATGTAGAGTCCGATCTGGGCATTACGATCAGTTCGAAACTATTATGGAATGTTCAGATCAACAAAGTTCGGTCAAAAGCCAACAAAACGCTCGGGTTAATCCGACGTTCTACCTTGGAGATAACGGACACCAACGCGAGAAGGCTTCTGTACCTTCAACTAGTGCGAAGTAACTTTTCCTATGCAACCCAAGCCTGGTGTCCTCAGTCAGTGAAACTTATTGAGGACGTTGAGAAAGTGCAGAGACGAGCAACTAAATACATATTGAATCTTGGGTTTATCACAGACATTTCTTACAAGACAAGACTCCTTCAGCTTGACATATTACCTGTCTCATATTGGCACGAATACTTAGATCTGGTGTTCCTCTACAAGATCATCAACAGTCTTACGTACATTGACGAACGTGTTCTACCGATCATGGCTGGATCAGGAATTACAAGAAGTGAATCCAATGCAAACCTAATTAGATTTGTTATTCCTTATGCGAAAACCGTAACATTCCAGACCTCATTTTTTATAAGAACTTGCAAAACGTGGAACATATTAGATAGTAACTTGCGTACTAGAGATATAGGTTTGCTGTCTTTTAAATCAGGTCTTAAACTCTACTACACACATGCACTATCCAAAACATTCAAATGTGACGATCCGCGCACCTGGAAATCAGTGTGTGTAAAGTGCAAAAGAGCAAGATCGCTTAACAATGAAATAAGTTGTTGTTAGCCTTATTAGTTTTAGCTTGTTGAGTTGCTTGAAAATTTGTTTTGTACAGTAATTTTATTCTTGTTTATATGGGATCGCCGTAATTGGGGAAACCTGTGGCGAATTCCCTGGCTCTATATGTTGCATTTAAATAGTAGCCGAATCTTATTAAATTAAATAAATATATATATATATATATATATATATATATATATATATATATATATATATATATATATATATATATATATATATATATACAGTCGAACCCCTATAAGCGGACACCTCTCTTAAGCGGACACCTCTTTTAAGCAGACATATATCTCAGGTCCCATTCGTTTTCTTTAATAAAATACTATTATTATAACCCCTATTAAGCGTATATATATATATATATATATATATATATATATATATATATATATATATATATATATATATATATATATATATATATATATATATATATATATATATATATTATAGTTAACATGGGATTATGCAAGCTTGGCCCCAGCTTTGTCACTAAGCAGTTAGATTTGCTGTGAGCCCCAGCCGAATTAAAGCCCTCTTCAATGAAGTAGTACATGTGCATGTATACTTCAATTGTACAATAATCATAGTACTTTATTTACTACATTCATATTGCATACTGTACATTTTTACACCATTGCTAATTGTCACAAAAGGCAAAGAAATTTCCATGTAGAACAATATTAAAGAAATGTTGAAACACTATCATTTCACGTCGTACTGAAGCATGCACATTAAAAATTAAGCATATATCATTATAACTTTCCCTTGATAGCAGCCCTCTGCCCTGCATGGCATTAGCATGTAAACATGCGGATTAGTCCCAAGTCCTCTGTGCACGTCTTTTATTTTCCCGTGACGTCACCCGTACTAAGAGGCCTAGGGACGAGGCTGATACACATGTTGTTGATAGTGTATGCTGTAAATAATTGTACTTCACACAACGCAACGAGGCTTACCCTGCATGAATACCTCAAGAATTTACAAGGAATCTGAGTCATTTAGCACGTCTGTCCTCCTTTTCACAGCCTCGTCTAGAATACCAATGCATTCCTGTAGATTGTTCAATGCGATTTTACCAAGGGGGACTACATGAAAAAAATTTGAAAGAGGACAAGCATTATTTTATAGCATATTTATTGCAATAATAAATATAACGTGGTGTTTCCACAAACCAAAACTTATTCTGTATCATATTATCGCCATTCAAAACTATACAAACAACTTTTCCGTGTGAATCACATATTACACTGTATAGGATCAGGGTTAAGGTAACCATGGTTATACAGTGTACAAAAATCTGGTATAATAATATAATATAATATAATGAATTTGCCACTATGTGCATGTTACTAACTAATTAAAGACAACTAAAGACAGATTAGACAATTCGTGGCAGGGGGAAGGAACAGGATTCTCGTCCCAATAAAGTCGAAGTTCTTTTTTTATTTTTCAGGTACTTCTCTTACAAAAGTCTGCTGTTTAAGCTAATCGCTACCAACCCAATACAAAAATCAAGTGTAATTTTACACAACGAAGGGTGTGTAATCGTACACACCTCTACAAGGTGTGTAATTCTGTACACAAGATGTGTACTGTATAATTACACAGCTTGGCTTCCATAATGCAAAAGATGTGTATTTTTTGTACACATTTGTTTCGAACAAAAAGGCGTGGTTTTACACCCCTTTGGTGTATAATGGTACAAAATCGTTGTATTTAAGCGGGTAGAACCTACTAGAACGGAGATTACATAGAGAATACTTAGTGTATCAGAGCCATGTAGCCATTGCAAAACAAAGTTTATCAATGTATTTTAATTACCTGTATCGCTATCCATATCCGTAGGCTTTACACGCGAGATTTGAAGATGGCTCATTTTTAATTTTTCCAAGCTCGTTAAAATCTGATAGGACAAGAAAATTTCTTAGCAAACTTCCGCAACTTGCTGAACATACTGTATTATACTACATCAAAGCCAAATAAAGCCATAGAAAATGAAAAAATGCATCAAAATTAAATAACAAGTGTTGGTCTTCAATACCTGTATAAATTTTCGAAGTAATAAGCTCACTCTTTTGAAAACCGGACCTAGTTCTATAAAAAATACATGAATATATCCTTATAATAAATTCAAACCTTTAAAACTGAAATGCTTAATATATATATATATATATATATATATATATATATATATATATATATATATATATATATATATATATATATATATATATATATATATATATATATATATATATATATATATATCTATATATATATATATATATATATATATATATATATAACTACAGACGGTACCGTTTCGGCCTTATGGGCCTCATCTGTGTAGTGCTGATGAGCAGGATGAAAGCAACTCTTATTTATAGTTACCTTCGATGCCTCACGATTGTGGGACATCAAAACCATGCCAGAGCGCTCAAACTGCAAGCAGTGAGCGTGCGCAATGCGTAAGCGGCATGGCTCATCCTGTAGAGCGCTCAATATGACCTAAAAGGCCATAGAGCGATATCTAACTACAGACGGTACCGTTTCGGCCTTATGGGCCTCATATATATATATATATATATATATATATATATATATATATATATATATATATATATATATATATATATATATATATATATATATATATATATATATATATATATATATTATATATATATATATATATATATATATATATATATATATATATATATATTATTTTAACTTAAAATTGAGTCACAACTCTGAGTTTCACGCTGAGTGCGATTGATCGCACTCAGCGTGAAACTCAGAGTTGTGACTCAATTTTAAGTTAAAATACTATTTGCTCTGTTAAATTCTTGATGTTGAGCACTCTTTTTACACTATATAATTGAAATATTATTATTATTATTATTATTATTATTATTATTATTATTATTATTATTATTATTATTATTATTATATATATATATATATATATATATATATATATATAAATATTATTATTATTATT